AACTGACTAAAACGTCATCGCAACCATCTTGGAATTGTAACATCATATCAAATCAATGCGCAGTAGTCCACGGAACAGGCATCCGAAGTTTCATGTCTCTCGTACATGAATTGGCGAAGCCTTATCCTTCTTTTTTTTTCGAAGTACGTCGTCCCCAAGAACAAGATGGGTAGCGTTTGGGGATCAGTTGCTGGGCAAAAATACGACTATGGTATCTGTATGCATACGGTATTTTAAAGCCCCAAACTAACTGGTATTTACCGTAAACACGACACGAATTAACATAAAAAAAATGTTTAGCTATGTGAAGTCATTAAATGAGAAACCCTTCCACCGTTAGAGCCCCTCGGCTACAGGGCTAGGGTTAAATGTTTTATTTGACCCTCTTCAAATATGTAATAAAAGGATCGAGATTTTATAGAGAAAACCCCGATGATTTATTGCTCGATAAGAAATGTCGGCGATGATTTAACATAAAAACTAAGACACATACGGTCTTACTGTAAAAGGTCATTTAGCTGAAAAAAAAATGGAGACATCGATAAGTTATCTTGTCAGCCACAAATTATTTCGTTTTCGTTTATCAACTTTTTGCTAATGCTTGTGTTTTTTAAAAAAAACTGCACGTGTTTATCATATCTTTCACATTTCATCACGATCATGACCCCAAAACGTAAAAAAAAGCTTGAAATATGAAATACTACATCTGGATACGAGCCAGACGTCCAGTCGTAAAATATGTCTGTGATATCAACCCGCTAAAAGCGGACGTTAAATAAAGCTATTTCATACAGTCATAAAACTATATACGGTTCACATATATCCACCACAAATCGCCATTGCCACTATCAGTTTTCAAATTTTTTTTAGGGGATACCCCAGCCCCACCCTCCAAATACCCTGTGCCCGCCACTGGAAACAGGGACTAAAAATGTACATGCCAACGCCCATGGTCATGCACCACTCCATTTTTTGTGTTTTGAATTTGCAACCTAGAATAACAAATGCTATGGGTTGTAAACTGACTTTTGTAGTGACATGTACTTGAAAAAGAACAAAAACATTTCCTGAAATTCTCGAAATTTATATGATTATTAGATTTATCAACATTTAAATTACCATGGTGATTTCAGACTGATTGGTTGGTGTTTCACGTCTGCTTCCCCAGTAGTGATATCGCAGACAAGAAATAATAGAAGTAGAAATTTGCTACGGTTATTAGAATATGATTTATTGTCTTTACATTCAATTCACCCATTTATTGTCTTTCCTTAGTTGGGGTGATTTTAGACTGAGCTTACATATTTGTTCATAAGGCCTGTCATTGAGTCAACTGGCGTGGTTTCGAATCCCCGGTTGTTCGTGACAAGGAGTAGGGTCGCCTGTCCAACCTGGTGGGTTTTCTCCGGGCCCTCCGGTTTCCTCCCATTGCTAAAGGCCTCTACGCGCAACCGAATTATTGAAATAAAATTGAACCATGTGTTAGTCCCGAAATTACCTAGTTTGTGTCAAGTGGACGTTAACCTCTCTCTCTCTCTCTCTCTCTCTCCATGTTTATTCTAATATACCTCTCCCGACCATTATATTAATTAAAGTATCAAAGTGGAAACTGAAAACATTTGGTTTTAAATCATTTGAAGTTTTAGCGGCTTTGAAATAGAATGCCCTCCTCCCCCTCCCCCCCCCCCCACGTTAGCTTTAAAATCTGCTCCAACATTTTCAATCTTTAAATCTAAATTAAAGACAGTCCTGTTTTCTAAATATTAAAAACAAACTTAGAAATGACTTTGTGTGCGCTTTAAGCTGACTTTATTGTTTGGAGTTTAGCGCTATATGAGAATCCTATTATTTATAAAATCTAACCAGGATTCGCTGCACGTTCGAATTAGATAATTTGTAATCTTATTAAAAGACAGATCTATATTTCGTTTCGGTTTTTTTCTACTTTCGATGGTCTACGAAACGAAATAGGATCTGTGTTTTAATCAGATTGGATAATTTGAGGGGTGGGTAGATTCTGGTATATAACCAAATATTTTTAATTTTTTAGAAGCCCCCAAACTTTTATAGCGACTATTAATATCGTTATTCATCTAGAGACATTATTACTAATATCCTCTGGTGGGAAATATTTCCCACTGGGTTGTTGCTAAGGATACGGAATAGATATGAATGTATGTACATGTAATACATATTAAATGACTGGTCAATCGCCGATACGGTTCACTGAATACACGATTATCATGTCTCGAATAACCTTGATGAAATATTCAACAGTTTTATGATCATAGCCATCTGTGACTTGCATCCCCGACTGACAACATTCCGCTTTTAATGTATTCAAGGGGCATAACACCCGCCATCATAGTGAATATGGATCGACATGAAATGAAATAGGGTTTAACGTCCTACTGTTCTACTCCGAACTGGGTTAATGAAGACGGGCATACACCATACAGTTTGCTATGAGAAAAATTTTGTCCGGACAGCGGCACTACGACCTACTCTTATATCGAATTCAAACTGTACACGGGACCTCGGTTTTCTGACTTATCCGAACGACTAGACAGCTTTCCTTGTCAGGCCCTCCGAAATATGGCTCGAGAAAGTCGGTTTAATGCATCACAAGCATACTAAATTCTTCTGTGATAACAAAATACAAAATCTGATGGACTAATTCTTCAAATTAAACAAAATGCTGTGTATCTATATTTTTTGTATTGAATATTTTTCATGAAATAAATACGAATTAAGCAGAATAAATTCATTCACGCTAACCAATTACAAAATATCATGTACGAATTACTTGCGCATTACGAATTTCATGTAAACCATTCAAATTTGGAATATACAGTGCTCAGTGCTATACAGGATAATTAATTTCATATAAGGAATTTTTGATCCCGAAAGACTGAGAATTAACCCGTTTGTTCTCTTGTTCGTACGTCTGTAACCATAACTCAAAATCCTAATAAACAAACACTTATATGTCATATGTATTCGATTCGCAGGCATACTTCAGCGCTGCAATATGTCTTATGTGGGTGTGGAGGTGGGTGGGGGTAAGGCATTTTGGCGATCCTAGAGATGTATTTAGTAATTGAATCATAATATACTGTAATATAAGAACCGATACTATCACTGCAGCGTTTCAAAATGATTTTTTAAATGGCTTCTTCATCTGTATTACAAAATGATGATAGGTTGCAAAAATAATTAGGTTTTTGGGGTATTGAAATCGATTTGTGAAATTTTGTTGAAACATTACGGTGTAATAAAACATAGAGATTGTATGCCTATCGAATGTTCTGCTGTAATATCTGTCATAAGACTATCTTAAAATTGTGTGAACCCTGCAATTTGAGGGCGATCAGCTGAGAAATCGAAAGGTGTTTTGACTTGAACTCCCCGGACAATTCGATAACACTCAGAATAGATTGTGTTTTATGAAGCAGAACATTAAATAAATGGGGGAACACAAATTCAGGGTGGAAACCTTAAAATGGCGATGATTAACGGTGTCCCCTTGTTAATTGAACCGGTAAACCGCTTGTTGTTTTGTTTCATTTTACGGTCATGGGTGATTGAATAACGCACATTTCTTAATGCTTTATAACATCATTAAATTCACAAGTAATACAATCTCTTGGCAACACTTAAAATCCGCATCAAAGAGGCCATTTTTAAGATGGCGTTCGTTTGAACGATGACCTAAAGGTTAGGGTCAGATGGTTATGTAAGAAATTGTACCTCAATGGTCGTCGAGTGGGCAGCCTTAGGGCATTAACAAACGTAAACACTGGCTTTTGACACACTGGGCAAACAAACTGGCCAGCTTTAATCAGAAGCAGACGTGGAATTTGAGATAACAAGAACTAGAATTTAAACATTTGCACGTTCTCACACGTTGAGTTCAAAACATTCACATCCTTTCAGAACGATATGGGAATGGGCGCCATATGTCACCTGGTGGTGCCCCAATGTTTAAACAAAGGGAACCAAGTAAATCCCTTTAAGCTTAAAATAAATAAACGTTGCTATAGATATACCAAAGCAAGTGCGTGTACTTATTTGCGTCTCCGTTAGCCCAGTCGCTGGTCAGCGATAATACCTAAGGTAGAAGCTGACGTAAAATCCTACGAACGAACAATCCCTGTCAGTGCAGACAATTATCACGTTAAACGCCATTTCATTTTTGCATGATATACTTAATACCCGCAAGTATCCCTGTCAGTGCAGACAATTAGCACGTTAAACACCATTCCGTTTTTTGCATAATATACACTTACTACCCACAAGTCCGAAATGTTTGGCCTTTTTGATGAGAGACACTTTGCCTGCCATTAAAACAAAGGAAAAAAGTAAAACAATAAACTGTAACACATGTTTATGGAAGAAAAATTACTAATTTATTTAGGCTACGTTTCGAAGAATATTCCCTCAACATTTGTGTAACACTAAAATCCACACATCCCCAAACAAATACATATTTCTGCTTGCATTGACGACACCAGTAATCTTTCCTTTTGTTGACATTGGTCCCTGAGATTTTATTTCTGCATTTTTTGTCAGCAGTGCAGGGCGGAGGGATTGGCAAGGACGAATGACTAGTCGTTCAGATGGGACGATAACGTGCACCGAAAGAACCCATTACAATTGACATGTTGAGTGCGCGGAACTCCCGCTGTCTGAGCAACATTTCCACTAGCATGGCGTATACCGACCTTCATTAGCCCGATTGATGCAAAAACACAGAACTTTGGTCTGTCATATTATCCCCAGCCTGTCTCGTCTATTAACTGGTAAATCGTTGTTTATATCTAGTTCTACAAATAGGTTGTTGTTTATTTTCAGGTTTGCCGTTTATATCTAGTTCTATAAATAGATTGCTGTTTATTTATAGGGGTACCATATGTATCTAGTTCTATAAATAGATTGTAGTTTATTTATAGGTGTGCCGTATATGTATCTAGTTCTATAAATAGATTGTTTATTTACAGGTGTGCCGTATATACCAAGTTATATGGATCTGAGTAATGGTCCGGAACCATGTGTTGTTTGTGGTGATGCAGCTACAGGCTATCACTATAGATGTATGACATGTGAAGGCTGTAAGGTACGTACTTATAACACAAAGGGGCTTGGCAACGGTTTAACACATGCGCGTTAGATCACAAGGTCTGTCATTGAGTCAAGTGGCGTGGTTTCGATTTCCCGCTTGTAAGTGGTAGGGAGTAGGGTCACCTGTCCAACCCCGTCAGTTTTTCTCTGGGCACTCCGGTTTCACCCCACTGCTTAAGACCCCTACGCACAAGCAAATTATGGAAACAAAAATGAAACATATGTTAGTCCCGAAATGAGCTAGTTTGTGTCGAGTGGACGTTGAACCCATCTCTCTCTCTCTTCTTCTTCTTCTGCGTCTTCTGTAGCTGACTATATTATATTCATTTTACAGGGTTTCTTCCGACGCACGATACAGAAAGATTTAAAATACCATTGTAAATGGAATAGTAATTGTGAAATTGACAAAACTACGAGAAATCAGTGCCAAGAATGTAGATTCCAGAAATGTGTCCGTGTTGGCATGGCAACCGACTGTAAGTTGTTTTCTTTTTTTAATTACTTCATTTATACTCCAGAACAGTTGGACGTTAAACCCCATTTCATCTATCTTGAAAGTTTTCCTCTAAGGTCTTTTTAATAAATATATCTTTAAATGATATTTTCGGCTCGCATAGAACGTATACAAATAAAGGGAGATAATTCTTTATGTAAAATTACTTTCTAATAACTCATAGGGATTGACGAAGAATATGAACGTTAATTATTAGAGTTCAGAATGTGTTTGTCAGCTCTTTCATCCAAAAAGAATATTTCACAAATGTTATAAGTCATTTATATTAGAATTTAATTCACAATAAGGGGCGATAACTCCAGATCTCATGGGTTTACCCACTCGGCAAATCTCGACAGATTCCGTTACCCTACATCTAATCTCGGCTGTATGACAGTAAGTGATATGTACCTACGCCCATACATTTGCGATGCGGCTGCCGGTTTACTTTAAACAGGAAAACGTGTCGCTTTTACAAAAAAGTCCCAAATTGCGTCTTTTGTAGAGTGTATATACCTAAATGAGCAGAGATATTGTCTCAGGGCTGCTGGTTTGATAAAATTCCCTGGTAATTCCCCAAACCCAATGCCAAACGTGACGTTTGTTGATATAATACACTCTCCACAGAAATCTCCATGGGGGCAGCCATTTTTCATTGGGAACCTTTAAAATAGTTCAAATATGGCGGAAATGGTGATACAGCCGAGATTAGATGCGTAGAATCTGTCGAGGTTTGCCGAATGGGGTTTACCGTGACAAATAGGTAGGCCGTATTAGTAATTATGGCGGTTGGCTGTGTTCATGCAGGTTTACAATCTGTAGCCTTATAATCAGTGTGATAAATACCCGATATTTAGATAGCCTAGAGCACTTATCATAACAATAAAATACATTTTCAAAAGAAACGCCGAAAGGAGATAATCTCATGAATGTACGCACTAAGGGAGGTAACTCCAATAAATGATGTTTAAACTTTCTACGCCAACATACACTGCAAAGCTTCGAAACGTTCAGTGTCACTATCCGACTTATCATTGCTTGATAATGACTAGATAAGCCTAGTCGAAACGTCGCTCAGTAATAAGCAGTAATTGTATTCCATAAAATTGTCACCTGCTTATTATCGTATTCCAATTAAAAAAAAAACAATTGTTGTTAAAAAGACTTCGATTTCTAATTTTGTATATTTTTGTCTGTTTCACGCAACGTGTTTCATATTATGTGGAACATAATATATGACACATAATATTTATATGTTCTTCGTTCCATCTTTCCAGTGGTTTTAAACGAGAAACAGCGAAAAGCGAAGAGAAAGTTGATAGAAGAGAATCGCGAGAGAAAGCGAGATGAAGTAGTACGTCAGAGAACTAGTCCTATCCCCTGTGATATTGATGTATTGAATGATAATGATAAAACTTTAATAGATGACGTCGTTAATGCTTATAATAACTCCAGTGTTAAAGTCCAGAATGCTCGCTTTATGATGGTGAGTTACAAATGAATGAATGAAATATTGTTTTATGGCGCGTCAGCTCCAACCGGGCTATATTGCCCCACAGATAGTGAAATACGGTTAGGGTAGATATTAAGGTCAATCTCATCAAATTCGCGAGATCTTAAAAGGGTTAGGGCATGTGTTTAGGGTTAGTGCTAGCCCTGTTTACATCTCGTGACCTTGACGAAATCTGCAGGTGGCCTTAATATTTAGACCTAACCGATGGTATACCCGAGCCCCAACTGCATTGTCTGCCATATCAACATTGTTGGAAGCTAAAGTTAAACCCTACGAACAATATCCTGACATTGGAGACTATTCCCTTTAGTTCATCGCGCAGAAATCAGAGTTACTTTATTTATTAAAGTCATTTGCAATTTTGGCCAAAATCTGAAATTCAGGTCTTGACCCACCCTTAAAGGAGCTAAACCACTTACTCAATATTTTTTTTATAATATTATAACTTAAAAACGGTAGATAATAATTCAAAATAATTCAAACTAAATGTATGTTATCGGATTCTGCCATCCGGGTCATGTAAGAAATTTACAAAAATTGTCATTTTTATTTATAGCCTCGATATGAATGCAAATACCCTAACGAAGCTGCCGAATTGGAGGCGTGGCAACAGTTAGCAGAAACTATGACACCATCTATAGTCAAAGTCGTGGAATTTGCCAAGGGCGTGCCAGGATTTACTCAGGTGTGTATATTTGAATATCTGTATAAAGTAAAAGATTTGGAAGCTGATTACTGGGACACATGCTTCAAATGCTAAATGAATTATCTTTTAGAAATTTATTTTCATAAGCCAAAAGTCAACTCTCCTCGATCATCCGATGACTGCGAAACTTCAATCACTTATGTGACTGAAATTTGCAATATATTCATTTTCATTATCTATTTTTGAAATGTTATAGTATACTGAGAACTGCCAACTCTTTATCTAAATCTTACATAATGCATCTTTAATTTTCACCGAGAAATTGAACTAATCAATTTAAAGTAAAATATTATGCTTTATTATGTTCTTACAGTGTGGGGTGTGGGTCAGCTACTTTATAATTAGATGTTAATTTTTTTTTATTCCGTTTCAATAGGACGTTAAACCCCATTTCATTTCATTTTATTCCGTTTATCGAGACGTTTAACCCCATTTCATTTTATTACGTTTACCGAGACGTTTAACCCCATTTCATTTTTTATTCCGTTTATCGAGACGTTTAATCCCATTTCATTTATTCCGTGTATCGAGACGTTTAACCCCATTTTATTTTATTCCGTTTATCGAGACGTTTAACCCCATTTCATTTCATTCCGTTTATCGAGACGTTTAACCCATTTTATTTTATTCCGTTTATCGAGACGTTTAACCCCATTTTATTTTATTCCGTTTATCGAGACGTTTAACCCCATTTCATTTCATTCCGTGTATCGAGACGTTTAACCCATTTTATTTTATTCCGTTTATCGAGACGTTTAACCCCATTTTATTTTATTCCATTTATCGAGACGTTTATTTTATTCCGTGTATCGAGAGGTTAAATTATCGTTTTATTTGTTATATTTACAGTTGAACGTTGATGATCAGATATTGTTGTTGAAATGTTGCTGTATGGAGATCATGTGTTTACGAGCTGCTCGACGATACGAACCGGAAGATGAAACTCTAGTCATGACTAATGGTCTAACCATTCATAAGTCCCAAATACAACAACACGGTGCCGTCGGTGCCTTGGTGGAGCCTATCTTTGAATTTGCTATCGGTCTAGCTAAACTCAGTTTGGATGAAACGGAAGTTGCTCTATTGGCTGCTGTTTTGTTGATGCAATCAGGTAGATATTACTAGACTTACATACAACTTGGAACTATTCCTACAAATTACACAAGTTTTTTTTTTCTTTCAAAAATAGTTTTATTCAAGATTTTCAGATAGTTATACATGTCTTTACAACATCTATACATTTCAAATTTTACAAGAGCTGGTCTTATACATGACTTTCAAACTGTCTACACATTTCAAATCTTACCATAGCTATAAATAGATTTAGTCATGACAGTTACACATTTCAAATCTTACCATAGCTATATAAATAGATTTATTTATGACAGTTTTTTTGTTTTGTTTTTTCATCTCATAATCACTGTGTATAATTTCAAATCGATCAGAAATAATCTAATTAAAAAACCAATACAAATCATACTACACAATAACCCCCCCCCCCCCCCCAGCAAACTACATGGATATCGGTATCACAAACCTTACTAAATGACGACAGTTAACAGGGAAAAGCTCAGCTGAAAAGACCTTCAAAATTTGTCCATCTATCTTACACAAGTTATTATCCCTACAAATTACACAAGTTTTTATTCCTACAAATTAAAGTAGTTTTTATTCCTACAAATTAAACTATAGTTATTATTCCTACAAATTAAACGGGTTATTGTTCCTACAAATTACACAAGTTATTATTCCTACAAATTAAACGGGTTGTTATTCCTACAAAGTGATTATTTCTCCAAATTAAACTAGTTATTATCCAGCACCGAACGAAGTAGTGGCTCAGTGAGTGAGACTTTGGCTCATGTGTTGGCCATGACAATTCATCGGGATTTTCCGACGTTGTCCCTCCTAGTCAGTGGTTCAAGACCGAGGGCCTGGCAAGGTACAACGTTTAGTGTTTCGGATGGGACGAAAAACTGAGGTCCCGAGTACCCATTGGCGTGTACGTAAAATATCCCTTGAAACTTTGTACACGCATTTTACTCGTTGTGTCGTAATCTAATTTAAAAAAAAAAAACCCATGGATTTAATTCATGGAAGCAAAGAACAACCAGCTTTTTAAAAAAAAATCTTGATATTTAATTCATATTTAAACTAAATGCAACTATTCCAGATCGTTCCGGATTAAAGAATGCTGAAGTTGTTGAAAGGTTGCAAGATGCTATACTTGGTGCCTTTAAACGTTACATAACCAACAAACGCCCCAATCAACCCGTCCATTGGGCTAAAGTCTTAATGAAAGTTACAGACCTTAGAACTATCAGCACCAGACACGCAGAAAGAGTGCTGTGTGCGCGCGTGGATTCGTCTGGTGGAATTTCGCCATTATTCATGGAAATGTTCAAAGAAGGCGGACAATCATGACGTCACAAGTCTTCTATTGGATAAAGAGAAATGACGTAATATGTGCGTGCTACAATGATGAACATCTGAAGTGCTGTAAATTTAAAATGGCCAAATGAACTCAACCTTGTGATCTAGAAATTCAATTTATGCTATAGTTTATATTTTATTCAAGCGTTTCCTTCTTCATGAAAAAAACGAGGAGCCCCTAATCCTCCATCGTGGAATGGCATAGTTAAGGTACTTTCGATTTTTCTCATTTGCTGTTTCAAATTGTATGTAAATTCATTTTAGTGAACATATTTATTTTCACCCCTATTAGTTTGAATGACAACCACCCCAATGCTTCCTGTTTTTCGGACTACAACTGGCAGTTGCCCTGACTACAACCTGCAATTGATTCTGACTACACCCTGCAGTTGACCCTGACTACAACCGACAGTTGTCTCTGACTGCAACCGACAGTTGACCCTGACTACAACCGGCAATTGTCTTTGCCTACAACCGACAGTTGACCCTGACTACAACCGACAGTTGTCTTTGCCTACAACCTGCAGGTAACCCTGACTACACCCGCGGCAGTTGTTCCGTTTAATGTATTGTGATAATCCACCCGGTTTATAAACTCCCCCATAATGCAATAATAATTTAAATTACGTCACACCCGGTTACATAATATGTGATACTGGTCTAGATAATCTACACTAAACTGTTGACGTTTATCACAAAATATGGAAGTTATCCAACTGTATTTAATACAGTTGGGAGTTGTCACATGTTTAATTAGACTGCCACATGTGAGTGAAACTTCAAATTTAGAACTATTTATTCACTGTGTTTCCCTGGCATTATACTTGACAACGAGACCCATCCCAAACTTAGGCTGCCTGTCTACAGCTAGCCCCGCCTGAGTATTCTCGAAGTATGACGTAGATGGATCGCTGGATGCAGTATGAACGAGACCATGACCATATATGCAATCATTTACTTTGCTGATTTTCACGATATGTTTACAAGTGATATTTATATTGATCTTTCAGTCGTACTGTCTAATTATTATTATTATTATTATGTTGACTAGATGTATGTATATTATAGTTGTTTTAGAGTTGTAAATGTTACTATAGTGTGATTGATGAATGCTAGGTTTCCTTATGTTCAACAACTCTCTTTCTTAGCCTTATACCTTAAAGCCATCATGGGGGTTGGGTGGCCGAATGGTTAACGCGCGCACGTTGGATCAGAATGTCTGGCATTGAGTCAAGTGGCGTGGTTTCGATTCCCCGCTTGTACATGACAAGGAGTAGAGTCGCCTGTCTAAAATCGTGGATTTTATTCAGCCCCCCCCCCACACACACACACTGCTAAAGACCCCAATGCGCAAACGAATTATTGAAATAAAATTAAACCATATCTTAGTCCCGAAAGACCTAGCTTGTGTCGAGTGTACATTAAACCCCATTAAACATTGTCTTTGAATAATATACATGATATGCTTACTCTTCCCATAACATCTCATATCACTTCTAATGGCTATCAGCTTCAACTGTAGTGTAGTATTTTGGGAGTTGCTGAACACAGAAAGGAAACTTATATAAATGTAAGCCGAGAGGCTGTTGGATGTTGAATAAAATTTAACTTTTGAATGTTAAATCAAAATTAGCTATACAATTAAATCTACCTCATTATGTAATTTGTAGTATAATTAATATTATTATTATTATTATTAGTTTGTTGTGGATGTTTTAATGAATTTATAGAAATAATTAATTGATTTAATTAGTTAATTGTCTAGTAATATTTTTACTAAATATATTTATTCTCCCTCGTTGTAGTAAGCAATAGCTACAAATTGTAACTGTCGAACGGACCTTGCTTTCTAGGCATTATTGTTAAAAATGATTGCCCCCTTTTCAGAACGCCATATCTATCCTAACAGAGGAGCACACATCCGGGTTCGTCTTCAAGGTGCATACATATGTGTCCATTTTAAACCAGGTTGACTGTTTAGAGATGTGTACCCCCGGTTAAAAATTACTGTCTCCAATGATATGATATTCAAGCTTGGAAACGAGGCACCTGTCACAGCAATCTGATGAAAACACAGATCCTATTTCGTTTCGTTTTTTATAGTTCAAAATTTCGTTTTACTGGTCCTTCCTACACTAGGATCTGGAAGACTTGTTATATTACCGGCGTTTTGGTTGAAGTGAGGGATTAGCCAATGAAACGATCTGTTACGGCGACTACTTGACGTGCCAAGCACGGAACTGTTGGTAAACCACTAGAAACGTACACGCTGATTGATTAATCAATGTCTGACCCCTGACGTGAACTCCCACTACAATTGGTCAGATCTTCATGTAGTGTAGGCCATCGAAAGTTTAAAAAAAACGAAACGAACTATAGATCTGTGTTTTAATCAGATTGTGACACAATATTCAAAATACCAGGTATTACATGTAGTTTATTATTGCCTGCCATTTTGTCCGGCGGCATAGATTTGTTTATTTTCATTCATACATGTCCGACACAAAGTTAAAAATGGCAGGTACTAATATATTATAGTTCACTGGATTCTGACATTTTGAACTCTGTGACGGACATTTTATCATGAACAAGTAAAATAATTTATTTGCAGGTCTAACTATATTTTTGGATATACATTACCATGCGACTATGTATGCTGCGATTAAGTTTTCCAAGAGAAAAATTCCTAGATTTTTTTTTACTAATATTATTTGATTGAACTGGTCGCTAGTATTAATAATAACTAAATTTATTAGTGTGGTGTGTTAATTCTGTTAATTTTATGGATGATTCTGGTGTATGCTTGATTGAACTAGTGATATCATTATTGATTGATTGATTGATTTTCTGGTGATCTCTATTTAAAGGCGCATGGGCTCTTTGATTTGTCTGCGATATCACCTCGGTGGAAGCGGACGTTAAATAAAGCTATTTCACACACTTTGATTTCACATGTGTGCGATATCCCTGTTGTGTAAACGGACGTGAAACCACCTGTTACTTCTACTTTGATTTAAACGTGGTATGCGATATCACGTCGGTGGAAGCGGACGTTAGACATACCTATTTCACACTTTGATTTAGTGTTGTCTGCGATATGACCCTCAGTGGAAGCTGACGTTAACTACCAGCTATTGTTATTGGTAGTAGCAGTAGCTGACGTTAAACGCCAACGTGTCTTTGATTTAGGTCAAGACAAAGTGACGAATTGGGTTAATCTGAATCCCAACATTGGCTTAATCCCAGAACACCAGATACCACTTGTTAGTTCACACAAAGCTAAGAAATTACCCCTGTACGTAAATCAAAGAGATCAAGCGCCTTTAAAAATGTATTAATTAGATTTTTTCTAATTGTCGATTATTTTTTAAGATTTTTTTTTCTTAAAAGGAATATCAGGGCATTTTATATAATAATTTACAATTCATCGTATCCTATTGTACGATGTCATAATCCGCCACTCACTGCCAAAGTTATCATTCATTCAAACATTGTCAGCAATATGTTGGTGAATCAATGAAAGATTTTTAAATAAATTAAACAATAGTCAAATTTGTTTCCATGGGAACACAAAAATTATAAATTACTGATTGGCGAAAGGCACAACTGCTATAATATATAGGTGGAGGTGTTTTCAAATTTTCTTAAATATATCGTCATAAAGATATCGTGAAGGGATTACCATATGTTCTGGAAACACAGCCAGGACGGATGGAACCCATTTCAACATCGCTCCCTTAACTTCGTTTTTCGCGAAATGATAACTCTTGAGTTTATTCAGTATATCACTACAACACCATTTGAAAACCAGTTGTCAACTAAAAGATTCTGTAAGTTGATTCACCAACTGCTGCTCCATAGATTAAGTATTCCAAGTATCACGATCGTGCATTACGTCAAGGATTCTTGTGTTCCTCTTGACACAAGACCTTGCGCTACTCCGGTGGAATAACTGGGCGTACGAAATACAAAAAACAGCATTTTCTAAAAGTCTTGCAATAGCGAATTAAGTCTTAAAATGGTGAATTCAGTCTTGAAATGGCGAATTCAGGTCCAGTGAATGTATATTCTTCTTTCACAATAATTATAACTAATGAGAGAATAAGTTGTGACAATACTAAAGTTACCATGATTAGGTTTGCCTTTACAAAGTGCGCCCATTTATTCATTTTATATATATATATATAGAGAGAGATATTGATAATTGTGTTAATGTAATAATAATATATAGCCAATAAATATACCAATTCAGAAATGGAGTATCTTTTTGTTTATTTTTGTTACGTGGTTTCACAGAAAAATAATATCAAGAAATGACATTAATTTGACTCAGAAAAGGTAAGACTTCCACAGTGGAGCGTGAACCCGGTGGACAGGGTTGGCATTCGCCGACCTATTTTTAATGGTGGTCGGCAAAATGTATATAAATTGCCAAACCACATTTTTGTTTCTAGGTAATTTTGAATTCTTCAAAGTATAGACCCCTCAATAAACCTATATAACACTTACAGCCATGTATCTATACTAATATTTGTGACTGCCGTTTGTCTTTTCGGGGATGGCGGATACACTTGGTCTGCCCCGAGTCTGAAATTTGGGGTATAGGGATAGCTCGGACCGGGGAGTAACATAGGCCAGGTGGCGTTAGTCTACCACTTCCGGTTTTATGACCCCCGAGCGAAGCCGGGCATTCTTCTAGTAGGTTATATTAGCCGTCGGGATTAGTTATCTAGTAGGTATATTTATTATAAGGTCCATGGTATATTCCCTCAGATGTACTTGAAAATGACTCTTGGATACAGCAATTTCCAAAAATATCCCAAAGGCGGGTTCAACCCACTCAAAATATATTTCCCGCGCTACTGAATTTCCAATTCTACCATGTATTATTTGAAAAAATGAACTGGAATTTAAAGATGGGTTCCCGCGTACAAACTGTGTGATTTAATGGTATATATGGACCAAAAACATATTCAAACTAATTAATTTGT